GCCCTCGGCCAGGCCCCACCCCGAAGCAGTGGAGCTGCAGCGCCGGAGTCTGCCCATCTTCCAGGCGCGGGGGCAGCTGTTGGCCCAGCTCCGAAACCTGGACAGCGCCGTCCTCATCGGTGAGTGGCCATGCCTGCGGGCCCTACCTTGCTCTCCTCTCCTGCCTGACTTTGCGAGAACAGTTATTCTTTGGTGCCTTACTCGCTCTTCCACCTTTTACTCGTTTCTTCAACAAATCTGAACACCTTTTCTGTGCTGGACCAGGAGAGGGGCCTCGGAGATGAGTGCGGCAGCCCTGCCCAGGAGGCGCTGACATCCTGGTGCGAGTGGCCGACGTGTGTAGGCAAAGACTTACCCTTCCTGTGAAAGGGTAGAGGGACACACCAGGGGCTTTCGGAGCTTAGAAGAGTGGATCTGGTCTGGTCTGTGGAGTGTTCGTCTCAGAGGGAATGCGTTCCAGGCAGAGGGGAGCTCCTGCCCGAGTAACTGGAGCCTTAGAAACAGTCCGGCCCAACGGATCGTAGTTTCTGGTGCATGAAAAGAGGCAGAGTTGTGGGGCAGAAACTGATTTCATGGGGTTTTAATCCCCAGCATTTAAGAGGAGCTAAAGAAGGACGGAGGAGATGAGCAGCCAGAGGGGGTCCCAGGAATGCTGGTAGTCAAAGGAAGAGTTGTAAGAAAAGCGAGGGCAGATGCAACAGTGAGGTCCAGTAATATGTGGACCACACACACACACAAAAGCCCAATGGATTTGTTGCCAAGTATTGATTGTGGATCCCATCAAGAGCGACTTCAACAGAGCTGTGTGGGTAAGAGCTGATTTATCATTGGGCTGAAGTTAAAGTAGGAGGTGGGAGAATGAAGGCGGGGGAGCAGGCTTCTGTTTTGAGAAAAAGGAGGGAAGCTGAGAGAATCTTGCAAGTACAGATGCTCGTCTACTTAAGATGGAGTTACGTCCCCGTCTTACATTCTGATGAATCTGTATTCGTAAGTAGAAAATATCCTAAGTTGAAAATGCATTTCATACGCCTAAACCATACATTATACCCTAACATCATAGCTTAACTTAACCTACCTTAAATGTGCTCGGAACACTTGAAATAGGTTACAGCTGGGTGAAATAATCTAACACAAAGCCTATTTTATAATAAAGTGTTGATTGTCTCATGTAATTTATTGATTACTGTACTGAAAGTGAAAAACAGAATAGTTGTATGGAAACTAGAGGTAGTTTCTCTTGAATATGTATTGCTTGTGTACCATTGTAAAGTAAAAAAATTCTAGGTTGAGGACCATCTGTATTCACAGGCAAAGGGGAAGAACTCAGTAGAGAGGGAGGCTGAAGTAGGATTAGAACAGAATAAAGATCAGTAGGCATGGGGTAGGAACAGAGCAAAGATTAGGAGGCATGACAACAAGGGCTATATGCAGAGCTAGCCTGGAGAAGGAAGAAGACTAAGAGATTGTAGGGCTGGAGAAAGGAAATAAGAGTGGTGTGACTGCAGAAAAGCTTGTAAGAAGAGGCAGAGGGAGATCATATTTGAGAATCCTAATTTTTCTGTGAGACAGGTGCAGGAGATAGTTGCAGGAGTTCTGACGAGCATGGGGGTCACAGGGCTTTAAGGCAGGTCCTTGGGGAAGGTTAAGATAGGACAGGCTGCAAAAACAAGAAAAAGATTGATGGCAGTATGGTAGCTTGGTGCAATTTTAAACATTTTATTTTTATTTATTTTTTGAGACCGGGTCTCACTCTGTCTCCCAGGCTGGAGTGTAGTGTAGAAGCAGAGCTCAGTCAGGTGTGGTGGCTCACGCCTGTAATCCCAGCACTTTGGGAGGCAGAGCTGAGAGGATTGCCTGAGCCCAGGGGTTCAAGACAAGCTTGGGCAACTTGGCAAGATCTCATGTCTACAATAAATCAAAAAATTATCTGGGCGAGGTGGTGCTCCTGTGGTTCCAGCTACTTGAAAGGCTGAGGAGGAAGGATTGCCTGAATCCAAAAGGTCAAGGCTGCAGTGGCCGTGAGCGTGCCACTGCACTCCAGTCTGGGTGACAGAATGAGATGCTAACTCAAAAGAAAGAAGAAGCAGCACTCGCTGCAACCTTAAACTCCTGGGCTCAAGCAACCCTCCTGCCTCAGCCTCCCAAGTAGTCAGAACTAGAGGTGTACACCACCACGCCCAACTAATTTATTTTTATTTTTATTTTTGTAGGCACAGGGTATCACTATGTGACCCAGGCTGGTCTCAGACTGATGACCTTAAGCAATCCTCCTGCCCTGTCCTCTAGGTGCATTTTGGCACTACTACAAACTCAGATTTGCCTCTGCACAGCCAAATTACAGGATGAGCATCTCAAATTCAAAAATCTGAAATCTAAAGCTATCCAATGACCCATTGGGTGCTAAAAAATTTTTGGATTTTGTGGCATTTCAGATTTTCAGATTTAAAATGCTTAACTAGTAACTATATGCAAATATTCCAAAATTTGAAGAAATCCAATATCCAAAACACTTCTGGTCCCAAACATTTTGGATAGGGTTACTCATCCTATATTTTACTTTAGCGATGCTTGTATAGGGGCAGGAAAGATGGACAGAGAAACACTGATCCAAGTTTGGGGTTTTGCCTGGTGGATTCAGCAGGAAGATTGCAGAATAATCAAATTCTGGGTCAGAAGGGCTGAGCAACCAGTCCTGGACCAGGAGAAAATGCACAAATTATGGGACTGTAGGAATCTGTGAGGTCAGAGAAATGTGGTGATAACAAGGGAGGAGAAGGATGCTCAGGTTTACTGAGTTTTTTTCTCTAATTAGGCACTGTTAAAGAAAGCCACAGAGGGCAGCAAATAACATTTTCTTGGTGCTTGCTGTATGCAGGATGCTTAAGTACATATGAGAGACAGAAACATTTAAACATTTCTGTTTAAATGTAGAATGGTCAGTTAAACAAGGGAGTTAAGTTGCTAAGGAACTCAGAGGAAGGCCACCTGTGCAGCCCTAGGGGCGCACACACGAGGCCTAACTTATCCTGTAGTGTGCCAGGCAGTCAGTGTGAGGGTGGGTATTTTGTCATAGTGTGGCCAAAGACAGAGGGTTTGAAAGAAGGTGGCAGGGCAGGGAGTGGCAAGGCATTTTTTAAAAATCTGTATAATGGTTGTGTTTTATTTTATTTCATTTATTTATTTATTTTGAGTCGGAGTCTCACTCCATTGTCCAGGCTGGAGTGCAGTGGCATGCTCATGGTCATCCCAGCATTGACCTGCTGGGCTCCGGTGATCCTTCTGCCTCAGCCTTCCAAGTAGCCGGAACTACAGGCGTGCACTACCATGCCCGCCTAATTTTTATTATTATTATTTATTGTAGAAATGAGGTCTCACCAAGTTGTCCAGGCTGGTCTTGAACCTGGGGGCTCAGGCAATCCTCTTACTTCGGCCTTCCAAAGTGCTGGGATTATAGGCTTGAACCACTGCGCCTGGCCATTTTATGTTTTTGCTACACCAGTTAGTGTCCTGTTGAACTTGTATTTATTTATTTATTTTGAGGCAGAGTCTCACTCTGTCAGACTGGAATGCAGTGGCATGCTCACAGCCACCACAGCCTCAACCTTTTGGCCTCAGGCAATCCTTCCACCACAACCTGGAACCACAGGCGTGTACTACCATACCTGGCTAACTTTTTGATTTATTTTAGAGACAAGGTCTTGCCAAGTTGCCCCGGCTGGTCTCAAACCCCTGGACTTAGGCAATCCTCTCACCTCTGCCTCCCAAAGTGCTGGAATTATAGGCATGAGCCACCATGCCTGGCTCTGTTGAACATTTATATTGTTTGCAGTTTTCTTCTGTCAGGAGCAAAGTTGAATAAAACTTCTTTGAAACTATATCTTTAATGCATACCTTTAATTATTTCTTTAGAATAAATTTCTGTAAATGAAATTGTGGGTCAAAGGACATAAATATTTTAAAGATCTTTGCAATGCAATTTGTCCTCCTGAGAAACAATACCAATTAACAGTCTACCAGCAGTATACATGAGTGCCCATTCTCCTGAGGCTTGACTAACTCAGAATATTTTCTTTTATCTTTTTCTTCTGACTTTGAGCTGTTCGTTAGATGAAATTTGTGTCGACTTGCATTTTCAGGAGACTTTTTTTTCTTTCCTAGGGGAAACTGGCTCTGGGAAGACAACTCAGATCCCACAGTACCTCTATGAAGGTGGAATTAGCCGTCAGGGCATCATTGCTGTGACCCAGCCCCGTCGAGTGGCCGCCATCTCTCTTGCTACTAGAGTCTCAGATGAGAAGAGAACTGAACTCGGGAAGCTGGTACCTGATTTCCTTCTTAATTATCAGTTCTTCTTGACTAAACAGTTCTCCTACTGTGCCCCCTACTTCTGAACAAGATGCTTTTACATACATTCTTTCATGCCTAGTCTTCTAGTTGTTTAGGCCTATCTCAGAGTTCTTTACCAGTTCCTGAGAGATCAGAGGCAGGACCACATAGCAAAACCTCATCTCTACCAAAAAATCAAAACAATTAGCTGGGCATGATGGTGCACTCCTGTAGTCCCTGCTACTCAGAATGCTGAAGCAGAAGAATCACTTGAGCTCAGGAGGTCTAGCTGCAGTGAGCCATGTTTGTGCCACTGTATTCCAGCGTGGGCAATAGAGTGAGACCCTGACTCAAAGAAAAAAAAAAAACCTTGGACTTTTTTTGTATCTGTATATAGCTTTGCATGAAACTGTTAAGTAAGTTGAGGTAGGAGGCTAATTTTAAATTCTTTGTAATCGTTATCATAATTGCAGTTAAATGTACGTGTCCATTGTCTGTCTCCCCAACTGAACTGCATGCTCCCTGAGGGAGTAAGGCAGAGTTGATGTTGTTCTTGCTCACTGTGATAGCTCAAGAGCCTCGCTTAATGCTGGATACACAGTGAGTGCTCAAGAAATGTTTGTTGAATGAATAAGTCGTTTCTTCCCACAGGTTGGCTACACAGTACGTTTTGATGATGTCACCTCAGAAGACACCAGGATCAAGTTTCTAACAGATGGCATGCTTCTGCGTGAAGCAATTTCAGACTCTCTGCTTCGGAAGTACAGTTGTGTTATTTTGGATGAAGCCCATGAACGGACCATCCACACAGATGTGCTCTTTGGAGTGGTGAAAGCTGCACAGAAGAGGCGAAAGGAACTGGGGAAGCTGCCTCTCAAAGTATGTGTAGCATGTTTAAGGGAATAGGCCTGTGTTGCTTCCACAGGGTGTTTTCTTCTTCCCGTTCTGCTTCAGAACTGTGGGAGAAAATTAGCCATGATGGGAGAGGTCATCTGCTTTGGGGACTTGGCAGGAACACAGGAAGACTTTTCCAGAGTTTGTTTCTCATCCTCCTCTTTGTTTTCTTATGTAGGTGATAGTGATGTCAGCTACGATGGATGTGGACCTATTCTCTCAGTATTTCAATGGTGCCCCTGTCCTCTACCTGGAGGGCCGGCAGCATCCAATCCAGGTTTTTTATACCAAACAGCCTCAGCAAGATTACCTACATGCAGCTCTTGTCTCAGTCTTCCAGATCCACCAGGTATGGAGTGGGGAGCACATTCCCCCAAAACTTGGGTTTACCTTGCAGCTGGTAGTGAACGCGTGTAGCCTTGAGAAGAAAAGCTGTTAAAGAAAATAGCTCTGTGAGTTGTGGCATCAAGATGAACAAGGGTTCCTTTGCCATGTCCAGGTTTTTATCCTTCATTTATAGTATCTTTTATTTTCCTTAAAAAGAGAAATAATTCACCTCTGACCAGCATCTTTCCTCTGCTAAGCCAGAAAACTTTCATATGTTAGAGCAGTGACTTATCAACTTTTTTTGATCATAACCCCGTAAGAAGCACATTTATGTTACAACCCAGCATACAATATATATAACTAAAATAAGTCTGTTGTGAAACACTGCCTTTCTTACTACATGTGATATAATCTATCTTCTACCTCATTAAAAAAAAAAAAAAAGTTGCTATTGACCCAATAGTGTATTGCAACTTAGAGTTTTTTTGTGTTTTTTTTGTGTGTTTTTTTTTTTTTTGAGTTGAAGTCTCACTCTGTCACCCAGACTGGAGTGCAGTGGCTGCTCCCAGCCACCGCAGCCTCGGCCTGCTGGGCTCCGGCGATCCTTCTGCCTCAGCCTTCCGAGTAGCCGGAATTACAGGCATGCGCCACCACGCCTGGCTGATTTTTTTTTTTTTTTTTTTTTTTTTTTAAATTTATTGTACAGATGAGGTCTCGCTGCCCAGGCGGGTCTCGAACCCACGGGCTCAGGCAATTCACTCACCTCAGCCTCCCAAAGGCGCAGGATTACAGGCTGAGCCACCGAGCCCGGCTAGAGTTTTTCTTTAAAACAAAAAAACAAAACTTTGTTAGGGAAATAATTTCATATAATTTTTCTTTTTCTTTCTTTCTTTTTTTTATTTTTTATTTTTGAAGACAGGGTCTCATTTTATCACATAGGCTAGAGTGCAGTGGAGCAGTCCATTTCAACCTCAAATTCCTGGACTCAAGTGATCTTCCCACTTCAGCCTCCTGAGTAGCTGGGACTGCAGGCACATGCCACCACACTTGGCTATTTTAAAATTTATTTTTATAGAGATGAAGTCTCACTATGTTGCTTAGGCTGGTTTCAAATTCCTGGCCTCAAGTGATCCTCCTGCCTCAATCTTCCCAAGTACTGGGACTACAGGCATGAGTCACTGTACCCAGCCTAGGGGAATATTTCAGAATTTCTTTTTTTTGGTGTGTGTGTGTTGGAGTCTCATTCTGTCCCCCAGGCTGGAGTGCAATGGCATGCTCACGGCCACTGCAGCCTCGATGTGCTGGGCTCAAGCAATCCTTCCGCCTCAGCCTTCCAAGTAACCGGAACTACAGGCTTGCACTACCACGCTTGGCTAATCTTATTTATTTGACACTTACTTAAAAAACTTGAATGGGTAAATTCATTTTATTTGTATAAATGGACTGTTTATACCTTCCTATTAACTTTCCGAGAACCTAGAGGCAAACTTTTAAAATTATTTTTTGTTTTAAATTAAGTGATGCATAGAGTTTAATGTTTTAAAAAGTCAAGTTGTAGCTGGGCATAGTGGTTTGCACCTATAATCCAAGCACTTTGGGAGGTGGAGGCGAGAGGATTACCTGAGCCCAGGGGTTCGAGACCAGTCTGGGCAACTTGGCGAGACTTCGTCTATACAATAAATCAAAAAATTAGCTGTACATGGTGGCACATACTTGTAGTTCCAGCTACTTGGAAGGCTAAGAAGGAAGGATCACTTGAGCCCAGCAGGTTGAGGCTGCATTGACCTTGAGCATGCCACTGTACTCCAGCTTAGGTGACAGAGTGAGACTCCAACTCAAAAAAAAAAAAGTCAAGTTGTTAATATTAAAATGCTCAAAGTAAAAGAATAGCATTTGCTTTTATTTCCCCATTCCAGATTCCTGCTCTGTAGGTACTCAGTTTCAATCCATAGCTGTTTTATCTGCATATTACTTTCATATTTCTAAAATATACTGCTATTTCTTGAGTTACCAATATTAGGAATTATATGCAGTGTTGAGGATTTTAAAACACTTTTCCCCCACCTCTCTCTGCTCCATCCTTTCAACATAGTTCTATCACAATGTTTTCTAAATCCAGTATCAGTATTAACAACATTGTGACCATACACTGCCAGCAGCACACCATTCCTATACCTTATTTCTTGGACAACGTATTTGTGCAAGTTTTACATGTAGCTGTTGCTAATTTTTCCCCAAATATTCCACCATTTCTTATAAGCCAGTCATGAATATTGTTGTGTGTTCAAACCCAGTCTTTCTTCCCCAGACCCAGAGTCTTTTATGCTGCTGTTCCCGTTGGAACAGATAGCTCTCCTAGGCCTCTGTTCAGTTGTCATCTTGATTCTTCCCTTCATCATTCTCCTATGGTGAAGTCCATTGCAGCACCCCATGACTTCCCAGCCTCCTGGTTGTGCTGGTTAGAGGAGAGAACCTGGGGGATTTAACCACATTGTACTCAGACTTTGAGCCAATCCCTGGCTTTTCACTCTCCCCTGACACACCTCTGCCTTACTTCCTTAAATTCTGAGGCTTTCTGGCTTCCCTGGGGAAGTTGGCTCAACTCTTGTCCCTTAGGAGACTCCCAGCCAAGTCATTCAGCCCTTCTTCCCCATGTCTTTCATTTTTCAAAAATAGGTTGAATCTTCTCATCTCCCATGTCTTTGTCTTTCCAGGACAATGTCCTTTACTATAATTTTGGTAGTATTTTGGGAAGAAGAAAAGATCAGTCTGCCTTGTGAAACTGCTAAAAGCAAACTTGAGATGAGAATTTTTCATGAATTGATTGCTACCAGTACAGTCCAGTTATATGATAGCTTTGATGAATTCTCCCACTGATATTTTGGCTGTTTTAAGTTTTATCCTTTCTGTATATACCCTGAACAGTTGTCCAGTTAATGATGGGCTAAAATATATATATATATAAATATGTATATATACTTTGGTATATACATATTTACATATATACATAATAATTAACAGTTTATTATTATTATATTTTAGAGACAGGATCTTACTCTCTTGCCTAGGCTGTAGTGTTGTAGCACTATAATAACTCACTGTAACCTAGAACCCTGGCTCAAGTAGTCCTCCTGCTTCAGCCTCCTGAGTAGCATAGGACTACAGGCACATGCTACCATGCCTAGTTAATTTTTAAATTTTTTTGTAGATGGAGGTCTTGCTATGTAACCCAGGCCAATCTCAAACTCCTGGCCTTAAGGGACCCTCCTACCTTGGCCTCCCAAAGTGTTGGGATTATAGTTATGAACCACTGGGCCTGGCCACTATTATTATTGTTGTTGTTGTTTTTATTTTTTCAGAGATAGGGTCTTGCTCTGTCACCCAGGCTTCGGTGCAGTGGTACAATCATAGCTCACTGCAACCTCCAACTCCTGGACTCAGGCAATTCTCCTGCCTCAGTCTCCCAAGTATCTGAGACTAGGGTGCCACCACATCCCCTAATTTTTCAATTTTATTTTTGTGGAGATGAGATCTCCCTGTGTTGCCCAGGCTGGCCACTATAATTATTATTAAATATTTTTTCAATTATTCTGCCAGTGAGCACTTTACATCAAGCAAAGTATTATATCTGAACAGATATGAAAGAAAGATTGTAAACAGGTATGTCATTATCACTTAGATGTTATTCCCTTTGAAGGTGAAGAATCCAGTGACCCTCAGTGTCTCAAGCAGCTATCCAAGTACAGTGAACTCTTTTGGGTGTATGAAAGTGCTTTTGGTGGCATCATTAAATAAGGGCTTCTTTTCCACTGTGACTACTTCTGGTCATTTCCACGGATTAAGATTTCCTTGTCATCTGTTTTGTCAACTTCATCTTTCAAGATGCTTATGCAAGGAAAGATGCTCCATGCAAAGCTTATTTGCTTGCCTGATTGTGCTTTTCGTGGTATTGTTACCAAAGCAATCTGGTGATTTCCTTCAAAACTTCCTTAATTGGTTTTTAAACATAGCTGGCTAACTTGCATTTGTTACAGTTTTGTGCCTTGCTAGTAAGAGTTTTCTTCTAAGGAGACGTCAACATTTAGGCTCATTTACATTTCCACACTTAAGAAAAATAACTCTGGGAAACAGAGTGCAACCTGTACTTCTCTCACTGTCTAATAATCCCACTGTACCTTTTTTATAGGAAGCCCCTTCTTCTCAGGACATCCTGGTGTTCCTCACTGGTCAAGAGGAGATCGAAGCAATGAGCAAGACCTGCCGAGACATTGCAAAGCACCTTCCAGACGGCTGCCCCTCGATGTTGGTCCTTCCCCTGTATGCCTCCCTGCCCTATGCACAGCAGCTCCGCGTCTTCCAAGGGGCTCCAAAGGTGAGTGCCCTACTTCTGTTTAGCCCCATCTCTGGGCACTCAGATGAATCCACCAGTGGCACCTATGTGCCTATCACCAGACTTCAGATAAGATGGATGGGATGCTCAGGTACCAATCAATTAGTTGAGAAGGTACAATGCTTAATGTGCTCAATATACTACAGATACAACGCACAGCTATAGATACTAAAACTGTTGGGTTGAGGGAGAATGAGAGGTAAATGAGTGACTGTTCTACGGGCCACATAAACTGCATTTTCTCATAGTGCCATATATCATGTGGCTCTGCTGTACCAGGCACTGTGCCAACACTTGCATACTCTAACATTCATCCTCACAGAACTAGCAAGTAGCTTATGATCCCATGAAGGTGCTGAGGCCCTGAGAGGGGCAGTAACAGTTGCTCCAGGGCACACAGCAAGCCACCGACAGGGTCAGGATTCCAACCCCATCTGTTTACTTTTGAATCTTATGCTTGTTCCACTACATCTCATCGCCTCAGATTAACCCCCTTCCCTACCCAATTTAATGAGCAACCATTAATATGAATGACTGCCATTAATAAGGAAGTCATCTTTTCTTGGTCATGAATGAATTGTGGAAATTAATGGTGAGAATATGTTTTAACACTTCTGAATCATATGTGTGTCATATGGCTTTTTGGTTTTCTTCCTCCTTTTAGGGCTATCGCAAAGTGATCATTTCAACCAACATCGCTGAAACCTCCATAACCATTACAGGAATAAAATATGTAGTTGACACGGGCATGGTTAAAGCAAAGAAGTATAACCCTGGTGAGAATTTGTAGCTCATGAATGTCTCTCCTGTGTATAGCGAGCAACTGTTGAAACTGTAGTCCCACAGTTTTCCCCCAAGTGAGCATTTCATGTTTGTTACTTACTGAGATTTGGGTGGCAGACACCATGAGTGAGACAGTCCAGAAGCCGTGTCCAGAAGGGAGACCTGAGGTAGGTATGTGAGACAAGAAGTCAAAGCAGGAAAGGAGAGCTCAGGTTTAGCAAACTTGGGAACAGAGGGTCAGAAACCTGGGCAGAAGGTCTGGAGCCCTCTCACAAGTTGGGCAAGACTGATGGCTCTAAGGCCAAGGACAACCTGATGCCAATCAAAGGTTCTCATCAGAAATTATATTTGTATTTAAGTATTGCTGGTTAGAGCACCCAGGCTTTCCAGGAAGGAATCAGATACTCTAGGCTTGGGTAGAGGGTAAAGCACTAGCTGTCTCTTGAGAAGATCCAGTGGAAAACTGCTTGAAGTAATTTTTACTCATGTCTATTTTATACCTTGTTTTATTTCACAGATGACTTGAGGCTGCTGAAATTGTTGCTCCCAAATATTTAGCTAAAGTGCTCTAGTGTTTACTAGGAGGCTAACTTTCACATGTGTGTCTCCTAGAGATATGTAGGTGAAGGCACATGGGTCTTCAGTGTCTGGTACAGAATACACCTTTATCAAGAAAATATTTCACATTTACTCCTAGGAAACAAACTTCACATTATCTTTGCTTTATAAAGCACATAAGTGACTTGAGGTATTTAATTTCTTTCTTCTTTTTTTTTCAGTCAGAGTCTCACTCTGTTGCTCTGGCTAGAGTGCATGCTCACAGCCACCCCACCACAGCCTCGACCTACTGGACTCAAGTGATCCTTCAGCCGTAGCCTTCCAAGTAGCTGGAAGGGTCTCGCTGCGTTGCCCAGGCTAGAGTGAAGTGGCTATTCACAGGTGCAGTCACTGGGCACTACAGGCATGCGACACCACGCCTGACTAATTTTTGATTTATTTATTGTAGAGACGAGGTCTTGCCATGTTGCCCAGGTTGGTCTCAAATCCATGGGCTCAGACAGTCCTCTCACCTCTGCCTCCTGAAGTGCTGGGATTACAAGCGTGGCCCACCACCCCCAGCTGAGGCATTTAATTTCTAAGTCATTGATTGGTAATATGACCAACAATCCTAGTTGTTGGAAACTTTAATAATTTTAGCACCAAAAAGGCCTGCATCCTGGGAAACTCTTAGTTCCAGGCATACTGGGGTAGTTGGCCATCATATGAGTTAAGCCAAGATCTCAGAAACCATTCTTCTGGCCGTTTGCTATGCGCGTGAGGTTTTCCTGTTGTTTTTGTAAAAGATTTCACACTGGGCCAAACCACTGCAGAGCAACCTCGTTTTGTGCTTTCTAATTTAGCCTTGAGTTTTTCTGGACTCCTGTATTGCAGAAAGAACCACTGGTGTTCTGAGGAATGCTTCTTTTTGTCAACTCTGTAGAAACTGTTTGTGTGATAAAGCACTAATAGGGCCCATTCTCCTTCTAGACAGTGGTCTTGAGGTGTTAGCAGTACAGCGAGTGTCAAAGACACAGGCCTGGCAGCGCACAGGAAGGGCTGGCAGAGAGGATAGTGGCATCTGTTACCGGCTCTACACTGAGGAGGAATTCGAGAAGTTTGATAAGATGACTGTGCCAGAGATCCAGAGGTAGGCTCCAGTTGCTCCTGCACTCCTGCCATCTGTACCCATGTCTCTCTTTCCTGTTTGCTTTTGCTTGCCCAGAACTGTGGTTTTTACTCCTTGGTAAGCGGTTCTGATTCACAGGCAGGGGAATTGGAGACAGATGAATGCCTGTCATCTTGTATTCTTACAGATGTAACCTGGCCAGTGTGATACTTCAGCTTCTAGCAATGAAAGTCCCAAATGTGCTCACCTTTGACTTCATGTCCAAACCATCTCCAGGTAAGTAGGCAAGTAGACAAACAACAAATGAACTCCCCCCCCAAAAAAAAAGTATTTTGGAAAAAAAAGTATTTTGGTGTAATCTTCTTTTGTTTATTTAATTCTGTGGATAATAACATTAACCATCAGAGAAGTCCCTCGAAATTATCATGAAATGATAGACTGATTTATTTATTTATTTAGAGATAAGGTCTCGCTGTGTTGCCCAGGCTGGAGTGAAGTGGCTGTTCACAGGTGCAATCATTGGACACTACAACCTTGAACTCCTGGGCTCAAGTGATCCTTCTGCCTCAGCCTCCTGAGTAACTGAGACTACAGGTGTGTTTCACTACTCCCAGCTGTGAAATGATAGGTTTTGTTCTGTCAGCATCATCATATAGGGACTCATAGTCAGATTCCTTAACATCTGAAACCAGTGAAGGTCATCAAATGGGTCCTTGCGATACTATAGAAACCTATTGAACTTTCTTTTTGGGGGGTTGGTGTCTCATTCCATTGCCCAGGCTGGAGTGCAGTGGCATATTCATGGCTACCCCAGTATCCGCCTGCTGGGCTCAGGCGATCCTTCCATCTCAGCCTTCCAAGTAGCCAAAACTACAGGCACACACTAACACACCTGGCTAATTTTTTGATTTATTGTACAGATGAGTTCTCTCCGATTTACTCAGGCTGGTCTTGAACTCCTGGGCTCAGGCAGTCCTCTCACCTTGGCCTCCCAGAGGGCTGGGATTACAGGCTTGAGTCACTGTTCCTGGCCCTATTGAACTTTTATTTGCGCAAGGACTGCTAAGATCAAATTTCTTTGCTTTTAACTGAAATTTGGTTAGCCTTTGCCCTTCATTAGCGATCTCTCTGTGGAGGAAGAAAACAATAATTGGGATTCTTCATGATAGTAACTTTGGCACTTGGTCTCTCATCAGTGCACCATTTTTTTTTTTTTCCTTTAAGAGAAGAAATGCAATTGGTAAGGGGGAAAAAAAGGAAGGCCAGGCATGGTGGCTTATGCCTGTAATCCCAGCACTTTGGGAGGCGAGAGGATTGCCTGAGCCTAGGAGTTTGAGATCAGTCTGGACAACTTGACAAGACACATCTCTACAATAAGTCAAAAAATTAGCTAGGTGTGGTGGAACACACCTGTAGTTCCAGCTACTTAGAAGGCTAAAGTGGAATAATCGCTTGAGCCCAGCAGGTCGAGGCTGAGGTGGCCATGAGTGTGCCATTGCACTCCAGCCTGAGCGACAGAGTAAGACTCCGACTCAAAAAAAAAAAGAAGAAAGAAAAATGTAAACAAGTGACTAGGCATGATGGCTCATGCCTATAATCCCAGAACTTTGGGAGTCCAAGACTGGAGAATTGCTTAAGCTTAGGAGTTTGAGACCAGTCTAGGCAACATAGCAATACCTTGTCTCTACAAAAAAAAAAAAAAAAAAAAATCAAAATATTAGTCAGGTGTGGTGATGTGTGCCTGTAGTTCCAGCTACTTGGGAGGCAGAGGAGGAAAGACTACTTGAGCCTGAGAGTTTGAGGCTGTGGTGAGCTATGACTGTGCCTCTGCACTCCAGTCTGGGCAAAAGAGTGAGACCTTGAATATAGGAAAGAAAGAAAAAGTAAACAACTGATGGGTGTATAAGGGTCCCACCCTGATCCTCAAGTTCATGGTTTTCCTCCCCTAGAGCAACTACTGGGACCATTTTCTAGTTGTCTTCTAGAGAAAATCTTTGCATATGCAAGTGTATGTAGTTTCTTTTAAAACAAAAACTAAGTGGGCTCGGTGGCTCAGCCTGTAATCCTGCGCCTTGGGAGGCTGAGGTGAATGGATTGCCTGAGCCTGTGGGTTCGAGACCCGCTTGGGCCACTTGGTGAGACCTCATCTCTACAATAAATCAAAAATTAGCCGGGTGTCCTAGCGTGCGCCTGTAGTTCCAGCTACTTGGAAGGCTAAGGTGGAAGGATCGCTGGAGCCCAGCAGGTGGAGGCAGCAGTGGCCGGGAGCGGCCACTGCACTCCAGTCTGGGCAAGGAGTGAGACTCCAACTCAAAACAAACAAACAAACAAAACAAAAACAATAGGCTGGATGCCATGCCTCACACCTAAATCCTAGCACTTTGGGAGGCTGAGGAGGAAGGATTGCTTGAGCCCAGGAGTTTGAGAACAGCCTGGGCAACATAGTAAGACTCTATTCCTACATAAAGAAAAAAAAAACTAACCAGGCAAGGTGGCATGCACCTGTAGTTCAAGCTATTCAGGAGGCTGAGGCAGAAGGACGCCATGAGGTTGAGGCTGCCGTGAGCCATGATCTTGCCACTGTACTCCATCCTAGGTAGATAAGGAATAATAAAACCAACACCTGTGTACCCATTACCAGTGCCATCGAAGCCCTGGGACCCCTCTCTGGCCGCCCTCACCTCCTTTCCACTCCCTTAGGGTAACTGCTCCCCCTTATTTTGTTTGTAATTTCCTTGCTTTTCTTTATTGTTTACTATATTCATATGTATCCCTCAACAATCTTGTTTCAGTTTGCATGTTTATGTATTTAGCCTCCAGTAACGTTCTCTTTTTTTATTCAATACATTCTGTAAGGTTTATTTGTCTTGATGCCTTTTCACCACTAAATGCTGTTCCATTCCGTGAATAAACCAAAATGTATCCATTCTCCTACTGATAAAGATTGCTTTAGAAAAGCCATGAAAAGCACATTGCTTTTTTCACTTAGCATATTTTACAGATCATTTGCTATTAGTATGTACATATTTACTATATCCTTAGAACTGCTATTTTATCTTTAATAGGTAATGTATTTACATGGTCCAAAAATTATAAAAGAATAAATGGTAAATAATGTCCTTCTCACCCCTTGACTCGAGCCTCCCAGGTGGCCTCTGAGGCAACTGATATTTTCATAGTTACATGTTTGCTTCTGGAGATATGTTCTCTGTACAACATATGAGTGTAGCTGTAGGTGAAATTTGTAAGTGTAACATCACTGGGCTCAAAGAGTATATGTATTCAGAATTTATATACATGTTACCAAATTACAGGTCATTTAAAAAGGAAACTGAACTGAAGACGATGATGTGATTAATAGCTTTGACAGGTGTGTCGGGGCAGTGGTTGTTGTGGTCTTTGCTATTGTTTGATGTAGAGTTATCAAAAGTTTCCAGAAGTGCTGAACAAGCTGCAACTGCATCCTTTTTTGGATTTTTGGCTCCTTTTTATGTCTCTGTTTCTTTAGATCACATTCAGGCGGCCATTGCCCAACTGGACCTGTTAGGTGCTCTTGAACATAAGGATGACCAGCTTACCCTGACTCCAATTGGAAGAAAGATGGCAGCATTTCCTTTAGAACCCAAATTTGCCAAAGTAAATGATACCCTCTCCTCAGTCCCCTTTCTGTGCATTACAGGTTAGCCATCCCAAAGTAGACTCCTGAACCCAGTGGCTTCTACATTAATCTCACTTTACTTTGTGTATAACCCTGATTTATATAGTGTGGGATTCACGGACATACTAAATCATGAGCCCTATCCACAAGGAATTTGGAATCCTGTGGGGAAGGCAGTCATCTGTTGTACAAAAAAGTAAAATAATGTTAATGTACGTAGTCATGGTTATAGAAACACTTGCCCTTTAATTCCTTAGATGGGAAACTGCAAACGCAATATACAGAGGTATTGTATTCAGAAGCTGAGAAAAAGCTGGTTTTACACAATTTTTCATTTTGATTTGCAGACCATCCTCCTGTCCCCCAAATTCCACTGCACAGAAGAGATCCTGACCATTGTCTCCTTGCTGTCTGTGGACAGTGTCCTCCACAACCCTCCTTCCCGGCGAGATGAAGTGCAGGGAGTACGGAAGAAGTTCATATCCAGTGAGGGGGATCACATTACCCTGCTCAATATCTACCGAACCTTCAAAAACATAGGTGGAAATAAGGTGACCCTTGTCTTGTTTCTTTTCTCAAGTGAAAGCTGCTTCTTTCTGGCATGCATTTTAAGTGTACCTTCCCTTTTTGGCTGAATTATCTAAAAAGTCACAATAAGAAAGCCAGATGTCATTTCAGAAATGTCTGAGTACTGGGAGATTACCAGGGAAAAAATATCATTCCAACCTTTCTTCTGCTTGTGTTTAACTCATACTTAATTGAGCAAGTTAATTAAGAATATGGTGACTCAACTTCTTAACCACAAAATGTTTTTTCCCCCACCTGTCCCTAACTTCCTTCATAGTAGTTTTTGCTGGCATGATACTTTAGTTTCTTGGGCCAAAATAGAAAATGGCAATATATTCTTTCATGTATTAATAAAATCAAGCTGGATGTGGTCTCTCACACCTGTAATCTCAGCACTTAGGGAGGCCAAAGTGAGAGGATTGCTTGAGAACAGGAGTTCCAGACCAGCCTGGGCAACATAGTAAGACTTTGTCTCTACAAAAAAATACAAAAGTTAGCCAGACATTGTGGTGTGTGCCTCTAGTCTCAGCTACTTGAGAGGCTGACATGGAAGGATGGCTTGAGCCTAGGAATTCAAGGTTGCAGTGAGCCATAATCATGCAATTACACTCCAGCCTGGACTTAAAAATAAAATCAGAAATCATGCTATAGTGTGCATATTTTTACATTTAAAAACAAAAAAAGCCATCACCCGAGTTTTAGCAGTTGTAAACTCAATTTATTTAAGGAAATAAAGTACTGTAGATAGTGAAAGCCCTTCTCTTCTCTCTTTTTTTTTTTTTTTTTTTGAGTTGGAGTCTCTGTCACCCAGGCTGGAGTGCAGTGGCACACTCATGGCCACTGTAACCTCTACCTGCTGGGCCCAGGTGATCCTTCTGTCTCAGCCTTACAAGTAGCTGGAACTGCCAGCATGTACCACCACTCCCATTGTAGTATTGTAGAGATGAGGTCTCACCAAGTTGCCCCAGCTGGTCTTGAACCCCTGGGCTCAGGCAATCCTCTCACCTCAGCCTCCCTAAGTACTAGGTTACAAGTGTCAGCCACCACGCCCGGCCTCCTCTCTTTTCCTAGTCCTTACTCCCTAATATACTATCCTGAAGTTGAGGTGTGGGTTCCCCATGGGCAAGAACATCCTTTTACTTCACATCCATCAACATGATACACTATAAATATAAATTTTTCTTATACTGTCCTTTTGCAATTTCTTTGCACTTCTAGTACTTCAATGACCATCCTGTGCAGGGCTCCTCAGGAATGTGGGGTACAATTTCTCGGGGACAGACCCCTACAAGTGAACCTGCTGGGGTTTGGGGTAGATCTTTCAGCTTTGCCAGGCTGACAGGTGACTTCCAAAGTTGTCAGCACTGCTTTAAACTCCCAACCAGGCATGGTGTAATCCCAGTGCTTTGGGAGGCTGAGGTGGGAAGATCATTTGAGGCCACAGTTTAAGACCAGCCTAGGCAACGTAGTGAGATGACATCTCTATGAAGTTTTTTTTTAAAGAAACAAAACTGGCCAAGCATGGTGTCTCATGCCTGTAATCCCAGCACTTTGCAAGGCCTAAGTGAGAGAATTGCCTGAGCCCACGGGTTTAAGACAAGCCTGGGCAAGTTGGCAAGACCTCTTCTCTGCAATAAATCAAAAAATTAGCCACGTGTGATGGCATGGGCCTGTAGTGCCAGCTACTTGGAAGGCTGAGACTGAAGGATCACCTGAGCCCAGTAGGTTGAGGCTACAGTGGCTGTGAGCATGCCACTGTACTCCAGCCTGGGCTACAGAGTGAGACTCAAACTAAAAAAAAAAAAAGAAAACTCTTCATAGTTAGATACAAGAGTTTCTATTTCTACCATACTCTTCAACTCTTAGCTGAAATGACCTTAATTATTGCCAAGTTGATGGATGTGAAATAATATCTCAGTTATTTTAAACTACATTGCCATGATTCCTCAAGAGATTAAGAATCCTTATATAACGTTATTGGCATTTATATTTCCTCTTCTGTGAGTTGTCTTCATTTTTACTTTCTTCCTTATTTGTAAAATTTTCTACAATGAAATTCTTTTTATAAGCACTAGCAACTAAAAAAGTTTTGTCCATTTTTCTAGTGGGTATTTGTCTTTATCTTAATTTTTAATTAAGATATATATATTCTGGTGGCACTAATGCTTTAGTTTTCCTTATTTTTTTTATTTATTTTTATTTTTTTAAAGATGGAGTCTTGCTCTGTTACCCAGACTAAAGTGCAGTGGCGCAATCATAGCTTTACGGCAGCCTCAAACTCCTGGGCTTTAGCACTAAGTTCCCTTGTCTCAACCTCCCAAAGTGTTGGGGTTATGAGCCACCATACCCAGACTCCTTTAGTTTAAATTATTAATATTTTCCCTTTTGGTTCATACATTTTGATATAAAGATATTTTCCTACATTCCTTTTTGGCACCTGAAGTTTTCCCTCTCAATTCAACTGTGTTCTAAATATTTTGGTATAATTGTTTTTTTTTTTTCCCCTACAGAAATGAGATGATTGTGATATCTATTTTTTTTTTCCTATTTAGGACTGGTGCAAAGAGAATTTTGTTAACAGCAAGAATATGATGCTGGTAGCTGAAGTCAGAGCACAGCTGAGGGACATCTGCTTAAAGGTATTGTCTCTTTCTGGTATTGTTTGGGGGACTAAACTGGCACTTTTTTCTGGGTAAAACTTTTTTAGTTGCTAGTGCTTATAAAAAGAATTTCATTGTAGAAAATTTTACAAATAAGGAAGAAAGTAAAAACTTCCCAGAAATCCACTTGAGAAGTGGAGGTTTTGCTGTCATACACAACTCCGTGGTGTCTTTTGCTGTCATAACTCTGTGTTGAATGTCTTTGTGCGTGGGCCCCTTCTGAGATAATCCCCTCAATACAGACTTGCACTTGTTCTTGGGAGACAGTTGTAGCCTGGACCTCTGCCAGTGTCTGATGCCAGCAGCTTATTGTCAGCATGAGAGACGTTTCTTCTGTTAGTAGCCTATTGTATTCTGTATTTTACACATTTTTCCAAACCCCCTTTTGTGCTTGACCAGTTTTCCTGCCAGTCTGTTGCTTAGCTTCATGAGTTTTCTCAATGTATTATTGGTAGTAGTATTCGTTCTGAAACTAGGACCCTTTAATTGCCAAAAATGCCTCTCTTTATGGTCCAGGCACTGGTCAAAGTTCTGGGATTTTACAGACATGTCTATGAGTAAGTATTTAAAGAAACAATCTAGAGAGGCAGTCTGTCATACATATACTCATGCAAGGAGGCAACAATAATCATAATAATCACTATCATTTATGAGGCATTTATTCAGGCTCTATTCTAAACACTTTTTATGTGACTACCTTAATTTAAATCCTCATTTCATTCATAAGGTTGACTTTGTTACTATTCCCATTTTAAAATGATGAAACTAAGCCTAAACAGGTTAAGTAATTTGCCCAGATCACACAGCCAGTGAATGGTGAAGCTACCAGTCTGGAAAAAGAGACCGCCAATTAGCCTCTGGGGCTTCTTGGAGATGGTAACAACTGAGCTAAATCTTGACAGATAAAGAGATAAAACAGAGTCTTCATCAGGAAGGATCAGCTGATTGCCAAAAACAAAAGCCCTCGAACCATCATAAAGGAAAAAATGGAGCTATTTTAACGGATAAAGAGGTCTCAAGAGGCTCCATGGCTTAGCCTGTAATCCCGCACTTTAGGAAGCTGAGGTGAGTGGATTGCCTGAGCCCGTGGGTTCAAGACCCACCTGGGCAATTTGACGAGACCTCATCTCTACAATAAATCAAAAATTACCTGGGCGCGTGGTAGCGCGCGCCTCTAGTTCCAGCTACTTGGAAGGCTGAGTGGAAGGATCACCAGAGCCCACCAGGTCAAGGCTGTGGTGGCCGGGAGTGTGCCACTGCACTCCAGTCTGGGCGACAGAGAGACTCCAACTCAAAAAAAAAAAAAAGAGAGAGGTCTCTCTTGGAGTCTGTGAGCTGGAAATATAGCCATGCTCCACAAGAGATTGGAATAAAGAACCAGAAAAGGCTGTCAGGAGCTGAGGCAGCTGGTTCTCTTTGTTTAGACTGCTCTCTCTTCTCACCTTCTACTTCCATATGCAGGCAATTGCTTTATGTAACTTTGTCCCTCAAGAGCCTACCAGAGATTGACTGGATTTCCCATTTCAGACCTAAATGCCTAGAAGAGAGAGGCTGGCCAGCATAGGTCAAGCAAGTGTGCACCACTGGTCTATTTGGCTATGGCTAGGGCAGTAAGGTTATATGACCCACTCAGCAAGGGTGGCAGAACAGGGACATTGACTGATGAAGGGCAGCATTTCTACTTGGGGCAGCAAACGCGAAGGCACAGAGACAGGAATCATGAAACGGGGCTAGGGAAGAGAAGGCAACCAGCTATGAAGGACCACGGGACATCTAAAGAGGAGGATTGAGAGAAAAGACAGGTGAGCCAGGCTCAGGGTGGCTCATTCACAGCTTCACCACGGGCAGTTTGCCTTGTTTTGCCAGGAGCAGTAGAGACATTGGAGGGTTTTGAGTGGATAAGAATGATTTAAGTTGTGCTTTAGGAAGAGGAATTTGGCAGCAATACATAAGAGGAGTTGGAGTGAGGAGATGATGATGTAGTCAAAGCAAGAGGGACAGGCCTTTCCTTTGGGGGCATCCTGATGAAATTTAGGTGAGGATGAGTCACCAGCATGCCTGTGGTCTGGTGGCTTATATGCATATCTCCCATCCAGTCCTTCTGCTCCCAGGTGTTAATTTCCCAGTTTTTGGTCGGTCTGCCTTCAGCTGTGCCTTCTTCTCTGATCTTGCTAATTCCTAAGGCACCTGAGGCAACAGCCTCTGAATGTCATCAACCACTTTGTTAGGCTTGCAAATGGCCTGCATTTTAGGCTCAGCTGCCCCAATACCTGGTATCGTGCTGTGCAGTGTTTATGTTTGGTGTCTTCTCCTTGTCACGTTCTCCTGAAACAGATGTCGATGCCAATCACGTCATCCCGAGGAGACACGGAGAGCATCCGCCGCTGCCTGGCTCACAGTCTTTTCATGAGCACTGCCGAGCTTCAGCCAGACGGTACCTATGTCACCACGGATACCCACCAGCCAGTGGCCATTCACCCCTCGTCTGTCCTCTTCCACTGCAAGCCAGCTTGCGTCGTGTACACTGAGCTGCTTTACACCAACAAGCGCTACATGCGGGATCTCTGCGTGGTAGACGCCGAGTGGCTATACGAGGCTGCCCCCGAGTACTTCAGGAGGAAACTGAGAACCGCCAGGAACTGAGCCACTCCAGGGTGCTGCCAGGATTGCAGGGACTGGGAGCTTGGACCACAGCTGTCCTTGTAGCTGAATGTGTCCAGCTTCCAGGAGCTTAAAAATGTCTTTGTCTAAACTCCTGGGCCTGAACCATGTAGATGTGTACATATCATTTATACCTTGGAAACTTCACAATTGTGCTTCTGGTTCTTGCTGGGTGTCTTTGGTGAGTAACTTCTGAGCTTCAGTTTCCTCATCTACTAAATGAGGGTAATAATAATTCTTACATGATTGGGGTCATGGAGTTTAGAGATAAGCAGAAAGTACCCAGAGCTATGCCTGGTGCACGATAGACATACAACGAGCTGTGAGTCATTATGCCTAATGTTACTGCTTTCTACAGGATGTGAGTCAAGTACAACATCATCTAAGTTCTTGTGACTGAGAAGGATTTTCTGGAAGGAGGCCTTAGGAGTCTGCAGAGCTTGCATGTTGTTCCTTGGTTCTGTTTTAATGTCTATCTGTATGAAGCTTTAAAGCAAAAAACATAAGCAACTGACTTCTGTAGAAGTTTCCAGAGGGAGGTGCTGTTGTCTTTTACCTCTTGGGATGACCATCCCTACTGATCCTTCATGTCTCAGGGGGTGGACTGCTCTATGTCTGTCTCCAAGCAGAGGCTAGTAAAGGAGTATCTTGGTCCTCCCCACCTTTGTGGTGTGTGTCCCCATCAGTGCTTTCAGGAGACAGGTAAGTTTCCTGGATGAAAGTTGATTTGTACCTTTTGAATCATGTCAAGTGCAGACATGGAAAACTGACCTTTTACTGTTGAGTGTGTGTATGTCACTCCCACATCCCCAGTTGACATTTTTCTCTTTGATTAGGCACCTGTGAGCGTGTGAGCATGAGGAATGACTCCGTGCTCCACGTCAGCTGTTTCTTTTTAGGCAGGGCCCCTGGTTAGAGCTGTGGGGTATGGACGGTAGGGGAGGGTACATGGTAGGTGAGTACCCAGAGAGCATCAGCCCATCCCAGCCACCACATCTGGTCTCTCATATTCTTGTATTTTACTGACTTTCTGTGATCTCTCTTCCTTCTTCATAGGGACTTGAGACAATCTGGCTTTGCTGCTGTCAGGCATCCCTCTCTAACCCTCATTGTCTACATTTGTCAGAGGGAATAGAGGATCTCCACAGTCTTTTCCTGTTCTGATATTTTGAGAAAGGAAAAAGACTTTAATGGTTCTTTTTTAGCTACTTAATTATCAAAAGCAAATAATCTTTCCCCAGAGGATGTTTGGATGAAGCCAAGATCTAGCTCTTTATCATTGTGCTTAATTGGTTCAAATACATCTGTGTAGTCTTTTGTCATTCCTTTCTTTCCTTTTTTTTGAGTTGTGGTCTCATTTTGTCACCCAAGCTGGAGTGCAGTAGCACAATCACTGCTCACCATAGCCTCAGCCTCCTGGACTCAAGCAATCTTTCCTCCTCAGCCTCCGGAGTAACTGGGACTACAGGTGTGCAGCATCATGCCTGGCTAATTTTTGTATTTTTTGTTGAGAAGAGGTCTTGCTATGTTGCCCAGGCTGGTCTCAAACTCATGGGCTCAAGCAATCCTCCTGCCTCAGCCTCCCGAAGTGCTAGGATTAATAGACCACACACAGCCTATTTTGTCATTTCTTACAGAATGAATCATACAGTTTATAAGTAGAAGGCCAAACTGCCTAAGAGGCTCTTCAGAGACCATGGAAAGTTTCTTCACTCAGGGTCCAGCAATCTTTTCAGAGACTGTGGCCTGATGGAGTACTCCCATTCCAGGGTCTCATCTGACCACAGTTGTATCTGTCAAGTCTGACTCAGTCTTCATTTACAACACTAGCCATGGTTCTGTGTAGTCAAGCTTTTAGCCAGTGTTTAGTGGTGTTTGGATAATTATTTCTATTAGAAATGGTTATATTTAGGCCAAATAAGACTTCACAGATCCTATATGCCTTATCTTATTGAATTTTTTTTTCTGGCTCAAGTTTTCTCATGTCCTTTTTTTTTTTAGTTGGAGTCTCACTCTTGTCGCCCCGCTTAGAATGCAGTGGCACGCTTACGGCCACCACAGTCTCAACCTGCTGGACTTAGGTGATCCTTCCACCTCAGCCACTCAAGCAGACACATGCCACCATGCCTGGCTAGTTTTTGTGTGTGTGTGATTTATTGTAGAGATGAGGTCTCAGCAAGTTATCCAGGCTGGTTTTGAACACCCAGGCTCAGGCAATCTTCTTACCTTGGCTTCCCAAAGTGCTGGGATACAGGCTGAGCCACCATGCCCGGCCATGATGAATTCTTAAACTTTGAACCAGTTCTTATACCATTTCTGACTTTCTGAAAAATTTTCCAGCAGGTTTTTTTTTTTAAGTATATTTTTCCCATCCATTCAATAGGAGACTAGGATATTTAGCCTGACTTGGTAAAAGAGTACATTGTATTTTTAATAAAACATTCATAGTGCTGGTAAAAAGTTGGGGTGGGGCAATTTATTATGTTTCTCGGCAAATTATCTCTCAAGCTAGAGATGTCTTGTGGGTCAAGTAAAATTTATCTTGGAGTAATTTATGTCCAGCTTAAGTACTTGAATAGTTTCCAGAAATGTCTGTCCTTTTCTGAGAGGTAAAGGATGTAAACAGCTTCTAAGTAGCTTTACTGTTTCTGTACAGAAATATGTTTTATCACTGTAACATTGTGGTAGAATTTTAATACAATATTTAGTTTTTTATTGGGCTTTTAAAAAAGTTAATTTTTAACATAGCTGCTCAGGGATTAAAATCAGATTGGAAAATCCATTCTGACTCCACATACAAAGAAATAGTTATTTATATTGAGCTGCAGGGGATAGTATACTTTCAACTTAAATTTTCTCAAGGTGTTAAATATTTCACAATGATATTGCAATATAATCTTCAGCTACTCTTTTCAATTGGTAAAATCTCTGATGGTGTGACACCTCTTTTCCTACCTATGAAATCCATATCTGGACGAATCACCAGCTCCCATGAGCAGCTTCATGTAAATACATGCACTCTAAGCAGCTCGCATGCCTCAGGTGTTTCTCTTCTAGTAATCATGGAGTGCGAAGCATCCAGAGTAACACACATTTCATTACAAGGGAGAAGACTGCACACACCAGGTCCTTGATAAAAACCCTTAATGCTGCATCGCTGCTAGTTTTAAGAGATGTCAAAACAGAGGCAAGTTTTGCTTTGCGGGCAAAACTAATTTTGTATTGTACAGTGATGTATAAAGCCACTAACCTCCAGGTTCCAGGAACTGCTTGGAACTGTGGCCATGCATCTAAGATAACATTCCTTGAGTATATAAGGAAATACTTGCATCCGTGGGAATTGTGTTTGATCAAAATATTACAACTTACAGAAAAAAATTACAGGGAGAAAAACGTTGGTTCAGGCTTATGTTGTATTTTGAGAGTTTGGTCATATTAAAACAAATAACTATAGAAACAGCTGTTGTATATAATGCTCATTTGCACTAGAGTGTAAAAACCATTAAAAATGAATCTTGTACATGATGTATGTGGCTTGTTTTTTGGGTCTCCTTTCCCTCATCCATAGAAAGCTGTTTAGAAAATATTGAGTTTTAGTCTCATCACTAATTTGGCAAGACATAACTTCTTGGTACCATATATGTCCTGTGTATCCTGAGAAGGTAGGATCTTTTTGTTGTTGTTGGAGTCTCACTCAGTGACCCAGGCTGGAGTACAGTGGCACACTCATGGCCACCGCAGCCTCAACCTGCTGGTCTCAGGCGATCCTTCCACCTCAGCCTTCCAAGTAGCTAGATATACTGGCACACGCCACCACGCTCGGCTAACTTTTTGATTTATTGTAGAGTCGAGGTCTCGCCAAGTTAGTTGCTCAGGCTGGTCTCCAACCCCTGGGCGCAGGCAATTTTCTCGCCTCCGCTTTACAGACGTGAACCACCGTGCCCGCCTAGATCATTGGTTCATAACCTAAATCTGAGGTAAGCCTTGGCTTCCTGTCCCCGGAAAAATGTTCCATTTAACTCGTGGGCAAGGTTGGAGGATGCGGAGAGGGAAGATCGCCGAAATTGATCATGGATCCTGCCTCTCAGCATCTCACGTCTGGTGAGGCGCAAGGAAGGCTGGTAAGCCAGAAATGCCAGGAGGTGTCTGCTGAAGGGGAAATCAAGCGTAGTGGCTGGCTGTTCCCAAGCGCAAGTTCCCATTAGGTGCAAGAGAGGAAGTTCTAGGAAGGTCTCCTAAGACCCTGGAGCCGGGTTTGGTGTGAGTTGGGGAACAAGAGTGCACTCCACGCAGTCAGAAAGCCTGGAGTGTTTTAAGAACAGTAGGTGGAAACGGAGAGTGTATAAGCAGCCGCTGGAGAGAAAGAGAAAGCCTCAGATAAACGACTCACGCCGCAGGAACACGGACGAGGCCCCTGGGAGGCTAGGCCGGAGGTTCCCAGCAGAGGGCGCGGTTCCGAACACAGGCTTCGGTCTCTAGGGCGCCGGCAGAGGCGCTTCCGGGCTAGGGCGGCACTTCCCGGCTAGGGCGGGGCTTCCGGTGGCGCGCGAGGTCAGGGGGCGCCTCAACCCGGGTCGTCCTTCGCTTCCGCACGTGTTCGCTGCTGCCTGCGCGATGCTGCAGCTGCTGCGCTGCGTGCCCCGTGCCCTGGGCTCCGCCGCCGCTGGCCTCCG